TTTTAAATAAATTTAAAATTAAATTTAAACATTTCAAAAATTGTTTATAATTGTTAAAAACAATAAAATTCAACATTTTAGAATTGCTTTTGGATTCTACACATTTGTTCCTTTATATTATTTGATTTTTTCGTCTTCGTACTTTCTATTCATCTTAGGAACCTTAGTAATATTCGTCGGAAACACGGAAATCCTCTTGGGAAACGTTTCTTCTTTCTTGGCTTTATCTTTTATTTTCATAGCCAAGTGTACGATCTTGGAAGGTAAAGTAGCCAAAGAAAATATGAAAATACCTAAATACATGCATATATGTCTTTCGTAAATAAAATAAATCTAATAATTTTTTTATTAATTTTTGAAATTTCGAAAATTTGAATCGATAATAAATTTTGTATTTTATTTCTACAATAAAGTATAGAAAATTTTTATTTAGAAATATATTTTATAGAAATTTTGATAAAAGAATTTTTTCTTGAAAAAACGCATTTTTTTGGGTGGCAGGGGTTTGAGACTTGTTTCTCGTTGAAACTTGTCAGAAGATAGTATTTAACCTGTCAGGAACGATGAAAGATTACGCGGAATATGAGAAAAGCTTCTCATACAAGTATAAATTCTTATCACAGTTGTTAAACTCAGCAGTATGTTTAATATAACATGTAATTTTTCTTTTTAAATATAGTTTTTGGAAATTTTTACAATCAAGTGATCAAATAAAACTGAGTATTCCTTAAAAAAAGTGTAAATATTGTAAAATTGAACAAGGGGCTAATTTTAATTTGGCCTCCTGCTCTTTCAGATAGTCTTTCGCTTGCTTGGGAATGAAAAGTTGGTCAAACTTTTGCCCCTGATGTAAATGAGAACATCAGCTAGCGGTGAGAAAAGAAAAACTATAGCAGAATGAACTACTCAAAATGGTAATACAAAAGTTCAAAGACAACAGTTACTTGAATTTGTGTAATAGAAAATTCCAACTTTGCACCAAGCTCGCCAAGAGACAATTCTATAAAACCTATATGTGTGTGTGTGAACTTGCAAAGTTTTTCTCTCTATTTATAAGAAAACTTTCTGACGCACCACTAGCTGAAACTTAGAATCAGCTATTATTTAAAAACCTTTCAAGAACACTGAGATTTGTGGAACAAATTTTCATGCTCATGCTGGTGATAATAAAACAAACTAAAGAACAAGTTTCAACAAAATTCTTTTATTATTGTTCCAGAATACTTGTTCTTATTACTTATTAAAGATTTTCATCATTATTCATTCATTAATGTAAATAACCATCCAACTGTGGTTTAGATGTATTAATTTAATTATAAATTGTTTATAATAATTTTTGTGAGTGATGCTCCATGATTGGACCATGTTACTACTCTTGCAATAACTATAAAAGTAAAATACTACTTTACGAAAATTCAATTATTTTAAATACAATATAAAAAATATTCTATACAAGAATAGAATAATTTTTAATATAATTTGAATCAAATTCGTTGAAAACGTTTGCAAGTCAATTATTTTCATCACTAATAAAATCAAAAATTTGCAGGATTTCAATTATAATGAAATTTCTCGAAAACAATTCAATTTTTTTTTCAATTTTAAAAAATTCTTCGCAAAAATTTCAATTATTTTCATAAATAATAAACTTATTAAGATGAATTCAATTATTTTTAATATAAATTTAATGAAATTCTTCGCAAGAACTCAATTGTTTTTAAAAATTTTTTTTTTAAATTCTTTATAAGAATTTAATTATTACCAGTTCAATTATAATTCAATTCCTCCAAAGAATTGAATTATTTTTAAAAATTTTCATAAAATTCCCCAAAGCAATTCAATTTTTTTCAATTTTAATAAATTCTTCGCAAAAAAAATTTCACGGAAGAATTCAATTACTATTAATAAGTTTAAAAAATATTCTATACCTACAAGAATTGAATAATTTTCAATATAATTTGAATCAAATTCGTTGAAAACGTTTGCAAGAAGTCAATTATTTTTATAAATAATGAAATAAAAGTTTATGCAGGAATTCAATTATATAAAAGTTTCTCGAAAATAATTCAATTCTTTTTCAATTTTAACAAATTCTTTGCAAAATTCAATTATTTTTATAAATAATAAAATTCTTTAGATGAATTTAATTATTTTGAATATAATTGCAATAAAATATTTCGCGAGAATTCAATTGTTTTCATAAATAAAAACATTCTTTAGATGAATTCAATTATTTTGAATATAATTTTAACAAAATTCTTCTCAAGAATTTAATTGTTTTGAAAAATTTCTATAAAATTTATTATCAATTCAATTATAAATTATAATTCAATTCCTCGAAAGAATTTAATTATTTTAAAGAAATTGAAAATAAAATTCAATTATTTTCAAAATCTGTGCATAAATTCAATTATTTTCTTAAATAGTAAAATTCTTCGTGAGAATTCAATTATTTTAAATACAATTTTTAAAAAATTTCACAAAAGAATTCAATTACTTTTAATGAATTTCAAAAAAAATTCTATACAAGAATTGAATAATTTTCAATATAATTTAAATCAAATTCGTTGAAAACGTTTGGAAGAAGACAATTATTTTCATGAATAATAGAATAAAAAATTTGCAGGATTTCAATTATAATAAAATTTCTCAAATCTATTTTAATAAATTCTTCGCAAAAATTTCAATTATTTTCATAAATAATAAACTTATTAAGATGAATTCAATTATTTTTAATATAAATTTAATGAAATTCTTCGCAAAAACTCAATTGTTTTTAAAAATAATAAAATTCATCGCAGGATTTCAATAATTTTTGAAAATTTTAAATAAAATTCTTTGCAACTATTCAAGTAATTTAATAAACAATAAAATTCATCGGAGGATTTCAATTATTTTTAATACAATTTTACAGGAATTGCTCGAAATTATAATTATTCTTAAAAATTTAATTTCAATTCTTCGAAAAAAATCAATTATTTAAAAAAAAAATGTTTTTTTTTTAAATTCTTTTAAAGAATTCAATTATTTACAAAAATATTAGAATTTTTCGCAGGAATTCAATTATTTTCAAATATTTTAATAAAATTGTTCGAAAAAAATACAATTATTTTGAGGTATTTTACTAAAATTCTTTGCAGAAATTCAATTATTTTCAAATGTAATAAAATTCTTCGCAGAAATTCAATTATGTTCAAAATTTTTTTAAAATTCTGTTCAAAATTTCAATTATCTTTATAAATAATAAAATTCTTCGCAGAAATTGAATTATTTTCAAAAATTTTCATAAAATTCTTGGCAAAATTTCAATTATTTTCAATGATTTTTAATATCTACTATTTTAATAAAATTTTTCAAAAGAATTGAATTATTTAAATAAATTTTAATAAAATTCTACGTAAACATTTAATTTCTTCCATAAAATATTAAAAATTTTACAGGAATTCAATTATTGACAAATTTCCATAAAGCTCTCGAAAACAATTAAATTTTTTCAATTTTAATAAAATTCTTCGCAGGATTTCAATTATTTTCAAAAAATTTTATAATAGTCAATACAAGAATTAAATTATTATCGATATTCTTGAAAGCAATTCAATTTTTTGTTAAAATTGCAATAATTTCAATTATTTTCAAAAAATTTTATAATAGTCAATACAAGAATTAAATTATTATCGATATTCTTGAAAGCAATTTAATTTTTTTGCAAAAATTTGCAATAAAATTTGATGTAAGAATTAGTTGAATTTTTGGAAACTTATGATTCATTTACACATCAGGGATTTTTGGGGTCGCTAAATAAGTAGTCGTGGTTGAATTTTCAAAATTAAAAATGGCGGATCCAACATGGCCGCATAACTTTAATAAATTTTATAAATAAACACGTTTATGGTTATTTTTAAAGTCACTCTCTTTTGAATGAGAGTTGAAAATTACTGATTTAAAAGCAAAAAGTCAGTCACTAGTTCAAATAGTAATATTTATACTGACAATTAGTTAAAAATAACTGATTGTCTGTTAAAAACAATAACTGATGTTTCAGTAAATTTTTTTTTGACTGATTCAATTAGTCAAGTTTAACTGATTTTTCAGTTATTTTTTCACTGAAAATCAGTTATTTTTAACTGATTCAGAAGCAATAAAAAGTCTGATTTTTAGTTAAAGCCATGATTTTTAACTGATTCAAATTAAGAGAGCATATGCAACATCAAGAATACTTCAAACCAAACAATATTTTTTTAAGTTACTTTTTAAAGTAACCTGTAAGTTGTCAGCAAGATTGCAGCAAGTTTTCAAAAATGACAGTGCAAGCTTGCTGCAAATAGTAAAGTGGCGTCATAACTCCACATTCTGCAATCTTTCTGCTAGCTTTTCTTGTAAACTTGCAAAGAAAGCTTGCAGCAAGCTTGGCTTGTAAACTAACAAAGAAAGCTTGCCTTGGAAACTTGCTAAGCAAGCTTGTAGCAAGCTTGTAGCAAGCTTCTTCAAGCCTAATTTTGACTAAAACAACTTAAATTAATCCAAATATTGACTAAATGGTAAATTCTGAATTGAAAACTGATTTTAAGACCTAAAATTGTCTTATTTTGATTTTGAGCCCAAAAATGGGTTGAATTTAAGAAAAAAACATTTTAATAATAATAATAATATAAAGAGCCGAACGTAAATTTTCGGTTTTTATCGAAAAAAAACCAATTTGAATTCGTAGCGAATACTTCGATATGGAGGATTCCTGTCGAACCGATGTAAACAAGAAGAAACGCCGTTCAACCTACTTGGAGCACTCACCAGAGGACAACAGTAGGTTGAGTAGGTTTATTACCGGCAATAGGGAACCAACTGCCTCTATACCTTCCACTGAGTCATTCGGCCTTGAAGACCACCTTTTACTCAACTTCATACCAACATGGGGAAAGTCAGTTGTCGACATATTGTCCTCTATTGAACACAATCTGCTTTCAAGTGCGCAAGACATCTCGCGCAGTCTCATTGACCAGACCTAGTGGTCTAATGGTCTTCGATACGAACGAAACCAAGCAGTCTGAGTCTGTAGAGTGCGTTCTACGGCGGAAAATCGTTGTCCTTTGAATAAAAAAAAGAAAGAAAGAAAGAAAATTAAAACTCAAAAAAAGAGAACAGAAGTCAGTCACGACCTTAATTAATTTGAATTATCATACGCGACCTCGCAAGAGCGTCGGGTCACTCTTCGTCTAAAACTGCAACTGTTCTTCGGGTCGAGGACTCAACAACAAGAAATCAACTCGTTTTACCGTCTTCGCAGTAAGTCGACGACAAGGTGAGTCGATGTTAGTAGTTTTGCAGTGGCGACGCGCCTTTACAAACCATATTATCCATCATCGACCATATTTTTTATATACGCAACTCAAATAATCGATTCCTCACTTGTTTTCTCTAGACACTTTACGTCTGACCCTTTTAAAAAATATTCCTCGTTCCACTTTTTTTCTTCCTTTAAATACCATATTCCATCTTTCTTCATTATACCATTAAATTCAAAAACTAGGCGCCAAGAGCCTTCCTGCTCTACTTTTCCGTCTGTCATTACACATCGATCGTTTGTACGCCTTGAAATTATTTTCCTTTTTTTAAAAACGAAAAAAAATTCCTCACAAATCACATTTCTAGATTTAAAATCAATATACTCAAATCATTCTAAACCTGTTTTAAACACGAAAGGACACATGACATTTATAACATGTGCTTTCCTATTAAAAATTAAAATACCAAGAGCCGAATTGTTCAAGATGTTGTTAATTCGTGATAAAGTAAAACCGGATTAAACTGGTAAAGAAAATTTTTTTTTTTTTTTTTTTGATAGAAATGAGAAAGAGAGAAAGATTGAGGAAAGCAGAAGTAACCGGAAGGAACAGGATTTCCCGCGCAGTGTACAATCGATAATGAAAGTTCGAGGTCACTCGCTTTTGTCGTCATTAGAATTTTTTTTTTTTCTGTAAAATGAAAAAAAGGGGGCGAAAAAAGTGTTATATTTATTGATTGTCCAAAAAAAAATTTTTGAATGTCAAAGTTCAATGCGGTAAAATGGTGTATAGGATATTGTGTGACCCCACCTATATTCTCGAAAATCGGATTTTCTTCAGAGGCATTAAATGTCATTGGTATATGACACAATGCGGGCAGATTTTTATCTAGTGTATGATTCAATATTTTACCAATATAACTTTTATGAATCCGCAAGGTCGTTAGGGGATATTCAAGGCCGACAATCAACTCCTGACACAAATTATTGTTGATATAGAGCAGAGTCTGTTTAATAAATCTCAATTCGTTGGTGCATTTTTTTTTTTTTTTTGCAGATATTATCCTATGGCTAGGGAAATTTGCTGTGTTTAATCATTTCCGTACTGTAAAACATTTATCTTTGCAATTGAAAAAATTTGTAAATTTTTACTCAAAAAAAAAAAAAAAAAAATTTTATTTTTTGGTATCTGTATTACAAAACCAAATAGCAGAAATTTTTGCATGGAACTTGACACGATATTGTATAGTAACTTTTGCAATATTACACTGCAACATTCAGACAAGGTTCGCCCTGAGTAAAATTTTTATTTAAACCAAGAATAATAATTTATTTGAGTCAAGTAAATGTATATTTTTCTCCGGGGCCTACAAAACTATTTATTTGCTTTGAATACAAATTTTATTTTACACAAATTTTTATTTAAACCAAATAATATAATAAGTATTATAATTTATTAATAAGTAAATATAATAAGTATTGAAATTTATTAATAAGTATAAATATAATTATATTTACTTATTAATAAATTTCAATAATTAAACATTAATTAATTAATTAATTAATTAATTAATTTTTTTATTATTAATAATTACTATTTTTTATTATTATATTATTATTATTATATTTGATTATTATAATAATCAAATATAATAATAATATAATAATCAAATATAATAATTATAACAATATAAAACGTATAATATAATTATAATAATGTTATATAATATAATTATTAATCTAATAATACACTGTGAAAAAAATTTATTTGATTCAAATAACCGATTAATTAACTATTATAAATTAAATATTTACTTGAATCAAGTAATATTTATTGTAGTCAATTAAATGGTATTTGAACCAATAATTTCAGTATTTGAAGCAAATATGAATTGAACCATTTAATTGACTCCAATAAATATAATTTGATTCAATTAAATATTTAATTGATAACAGTCAATTAATCGGTTATTGGAATCAAATACATTTTTTTCAGTGTAATATAAAAATAATATACTCTCTAAATTTGAATTAGTAAAAATTTTTACTAATTTGAATGAGTGACTAACTTTTTGTTTTTGAATTAGTAAATTTTACTAATAAAGAGTAATTGCTACAAATTTATTAGTAAAATTTACTAATTCGAAAGCAAAAAGTCAGTCACTAATTCAAATTAGTAAACATTTTTACTAATTCAAATTTAGGGAGTATATTTTTTTGGTTATTATTAGTAAATAAATAAATATTTATTAATATTTATCTCAGAGCCTAATAAATTATTTACTTGTTTTAAAACAAAAATTTTATTTTGCACAAATATTATATTTATATATTTATGATATTTTATATATAAATAAATTTATTACACTGTTTTTCTGCGAATATCAAATTGAGACTTTTGATTCGTTTTTTTGTCTCAGTTTGATATCCTTAGAAAAATTGTGTATATATTTGGACCGAATAAAATTTTTTTCTAAGCAAATAAAATGTTTACTATAGGCTCTGAGCGAAATATATACTTTTTCTGGGAGTGATTTCCAGAAAGAATTTTCATCTTTTATTATAATATATTTTTATTATATTATATTGTATGTAATATAATAAAAAAAATAATAATAAAATATAATTGTAATTCGAAATAATTTTAAAATCTTGAGTGGAAATTAAAACGCATTAAAAATAATTTAACAAAATTGTAGAAAGTAGTTGAATTTTAAAAGAATTTCAGTTGTAATTTTTAGAAATAAATTAAAATTTAGCAAATTATATACTCCAGTATTAAATAATTTAATATTTAAAAATTTGTGTCATGTTCCATGGAAAAAAATATACTATCTGGAAAAAATTTTGTTTTTATATATTCTAAAAAAACTAAAATATTCTGATTTGTTTATAAAAAAAAATCTAAAAAAAATTTAATTTAAATAACCGATCACTTGTCTATTATCAAATAAATATTTACTTAAATCAAATAAATTTGAATTTAAAACCAATAATTTCAGTATTTGAAACAAATACCATTTAATTGATTTAAATAAAAATTATTTGATTTGAGTAAATATTTCTATTTGGAAAAAAAAATCAAATAATCGGTTATTTAAATCAAATAAATTTTCTCAATATGTATAAACAAATTATTTTGTGGTAAAAGTAATTGTAAACAATTTTTTTTTCTCTATAAAGACGGTGGTGAATTCGTTTATAAAATAAAATGAATTAAAAATTGATTAAATCATTAAAAATCTGTTATAGAAAAATTATTTATTTATTTAAAGTTGTATTTCTTAAAAAAAGTATAAAAAAATTTCATTTTGAAAAAATCTTTACAAAAAAAAAAACGAAATGTATCTGTTTACTATATAAGCGTATTGACCCACTTTTTCCGTAAAGTTATTTTTCGAAAATAAAAATAATTTTTCCCATCTATTTGTGTTGTGAAATATAATAAAGCAATGTATTACATTTCATATCGGTACAAATAAAAAAAAGAATGATTTTGTTGACCAAAACCCATTCAACTGTACAGGTAGAGTGAGATATTCAGATATATGCTTGAAGAAACCTTCAATAATATTTGCTAGTGTCTTCAATATTCATGCATGTTAGAAAATCCTTGAATTTGTATGAAAAAATATTTTTCTAAAGTTCTGCAACTCGTTGTACTACAATTTTTTCTTCGTTTCAAAAAATTTTTCTTTTACAATATTCTTACTATATAAACTATATATGAAAAAAATACTATTTCATTGTTGATGTTAATTACTATTACTACTATTAACTACTATCAGTACTTTTAATTACTATTACTACTATTAACTACTATCAGTACTTTTAATTACTATTAATAATATTGCTTACTATTAATAATATTACTTACTATTAATATTAATTACTTACTATTAATATTATTAATTACTCTCAGTACTATTAACACATTTAATTACTATTAATTCTTATCAATACTATCAATTACTATCAATATTATCAAGTACTATTATTATACTATAAACAATACTATTAATATTGCTAATTACTGTAAAAACTATTATTTAGTATTAATACTATTAATAATACAATTTAGTATTAATATTATTGGTACTATTAATTACTATCAGTTTTATTAATTAGTAATACTGCTAGTAATTACTGTTAATAACACTAATTGCTGTGAATACTATTAATACTATTAATAATACTAATTGCTATCAATACTGTTAGTAATATTAATAGTACCAATTACTATCAATGATATTAATACTATTAATTGCTATCAATTTTTATTAGTAATATAAGTACTATTAATACTATTAATTACTATTAATAAAGGATAGGACTATTAGTAGTATTAATACTATTAATGTTATTATTTACTGACAATATTATGAATTACTATTAATACTACTAATTAATATAAATACTATTAAGTACTATTAATACTTTCAATATTATTAATACTTTTAATTACAATCAAAACTATTAATAGTATTAATTGCTATTAATACTATTAATTACTATCAATACAATTAGTACTATTAATACTATTAATTACTATCAATACTATTAATTACTATTGATACTTTTAATATTATTAATAGTCTATCAATACTATTATTACTATTAATACTATTAATACTATTAGTAGTGTTAATATTATTAATTATCTTCAGTACTATTTTTATTATGATTTCTGTCAATTTGATTAATTATTATTAATAATATAGATTACAATTAATACTATAAATTATTATTTATACTATTAACTATTGATAATACTATTAATTGTTTATAATACTTTGAATTACTGTAAATACTATTAATTACTATTTTATTGTTTATTTATATATTTGTCGTTAATAGTAGTAATATTTTTTTTTCTCTCTTTGATTTTTCATTCTTTTTTTTTCAATAAAATATTTCAATGTTATAACAATAGTCACTACTATGTAGTTATGTGATGAGGAATTTTTTTTACGACGAGAACTCAAATTATTATTCAGAAATTCTTCCGAGAAAACAATACCTGTGTGTTGTGAAAAATTAAGGCGTGTCCTTCCGGTCAATTTAAATAACACTAATAATTGTTTGTTCATATTTTGTAGAACTCTTCTGTTTAAAACTAAACACAAACTCTCTTATCTCTCTTTCTCTTTCTCTCTCTTTAATTGTTTCAGTTTAATATTTTAAATACTTTTTAACGTGTTATTCGATTTTGTTTTCTGCAGACGAAATAAATATGTATAATGATATTAAATATTGTAAAACTGCTTGAAAAGTAGTAGTGAGAATGTTATTTTTATTTTCAATGTTATTGTTAAGAAAGAAACAAAAAAAAAAGGAAGAAAAGTATTCAATCAAAATTCAAAATTTTGATTGTTTCGGTAGAAAATCTTTGAATACGAAAAAAACAACATCTGATACAATTCAGAACAACAAAACGTACGAGATTCACTCGACTGCATGTGATTTTCATTTTTTGCTGAATTTTTCTTTTTGACAAAGATCATTTTTATTTGAGACTTAATTTAGAATTTTATTGAAATTTTTGATAATTTTTTTTTGTCATAATTACTCTTCATTATTAATTGTCTAGAAAATGGTAATTTTGTTGGAAATTAAAAATTCCAAACTAGTAGGAATCGAATATTGCAAATATTCTGTATTGTTTTTTTCTTAAATTAAAAATATTAAAATAAAAAGAAATTTTTCAATTAATTGGCAAGCTTTCAGGAAAATAGTGCAAGCTTGCTGAAAACTTACAGGTTACTTGAAATTTATTAAAATGTTTATTAAAACAAGAAAGAAATATTTATTGAAATAAAAAATATTTATTGAATTAAAAATTATTTATTGAAATAAAAAATATTTATTGAATTAAAAATTATTTATTGAATTAAAAAATATTAATTGAAATAAAAAAAAGTTATTGAATTAAAAAATATTTATTGAAATAAAAAATTTATTGAAATAAAAAATATTTATTGAAATAAAAAGTATTTAAAGAATTAAAAAATATTTATTGAAACAAAAAATATTTATTGAAATAAAACAGAAATATTTATCAAAAATTAAAAAACAAAAAATTAAAGCAGGAAGTAAACAATTTCGTTTTTGTATCGATACAAAAGAAAAAAAATTGCTCGCATTTTTGTTGCGTGTCAATAATCGCGGTTAAAAAAAACAATTCAATACATTTAATAACTGCGAAAGAAAGAATTTAATTCGAGGTGTAAATTTTTCTCTCTTTTTTTTGCAAATGCTGTTTCATAAAATTGCGTAACTATTTGTGAGTCACTATATAACTGCCGTCGAGAGACGCAATTAAATGATAATAATCTCTGCATCAATGGATCAGAATTTTTTTTCTTAAATATTTTTGCATTATCACCGTATATCTGGATAGACAATTTCTAATGAAGAGTTTTTTTTTAATCACATCTAGAAAATTAGAGACAAGTTATAAATTATTTTTTTCAATTACACTATGCAATTGGGCTGCCGCCATGCATGCGAATCTCTATAATAATGCATTTAAAAAGAATTTCAGCACGTGAGACATATGGCATGTTTTGAATCATTTATTTCGCTACATTTTTTTTTTTATTCCAAAAATCAGTGTTCCAAATTTGCGCAATTTGTAACTAATTTTATAATATAATTCTCATAAAGATACTGGGGATCGATTTTTTCAGATTATTTAAATAAATAATTCCCTTCACTTTCAGAAAAAAAAAAATTCAGAGAAAAAAAATTTAATTTTCATAGTATTGCTCGCATAATTCTCTATACAAAAATAGGGAAATGAAAAATATTTCTGTATTTTTTCCGCCATATTAGAATCACCATTTTTTTCATTTTAGGAGAAAGTGAATTAAAAATTATGAAATTGAAAAATTTTTATTTCTATTTTTGGGAGATATTTTAAATAGAGGAGAATTCTTATTGTGATTTTAAAGAAATTGCTTTTCGTCTGTTCCTCCGAATGTGGTCAATTTTTGGCACTGAACTTCGTATCATGTGACGTATATTGGCCAGTTTACAAATATTCCTCGCTACTCAATGAAAGTGGCTCCTATCATTTGAAATTTTTGGCAAAATGCGTAATGTAACAGGTTGCTCCTGTGATTCTTAATGTTTAAGAATTTTTTTTTTTTTTGCTGACCCACATTTCCAATTTATTGACAATGACAAAAATATTTAAAAACCAGAAAATTTATATATTTTAACTGGTGGTCAAAATCTGGCGAACTGTGGGCATTGACAAAAATATTTTAAACCCACAAAATTTCTATATTTTGATTATGGTCAAAAAACAATGACAAAATTATTTTAAAAACAATAAAAAGTTCTATATATTTGACTATGGCTAAAATCTAGCAAACCATGGCCAATAACAAGCTTCGTATTCGATAATTAATTTTCGAAAAGTATCAAAAAGTAGCTTAAAGACAGAAAAAAGTAGTAAAAAAGTAGCTATCGAAAAATTAAACTTGACGACTTAATTTTTTAATAATTTCTTAATTACATGAAAAAATAGAATAATTTTTAAAAATAAATATTTAAATACCTATTTATTTTGTCTACAGGAATAAAAATATTTCAAATGATTTCAATGTAACGCATTTTTGAAATTTAACTATTTTTAAAAATTACAAAAATAATTCTTTCAAAATTCAATCATTTTTTTCTTGAAATTTATAAATAAAATTATTCAAAACATTAACCATTTTATTTTATTCAATTCTATATCAATTCTTATTAGAATGTTCTACGAGAATTCAATTATTTAAATACAAAAATAAATAATAATTTATTGAATAATTGAATATTTCTTAAATTTGAATTCTTATAAAGAAGTTTATCAACATTTTTTAAAATAATTAAATTTTTACGAACAATTGCATTAAAATTTTTGATAATAATTAAATTCATTCAAGAAATTTAATTAAAAATGAATTAAAAGTAATTATTACACTGTAAAAAACAAATATCAAATTTTTTTAAATAATTGAACTTTTTCGAAGAATTTTATTCAAATTTTTTAAGAATAATTGCGTTTTTAACGGAATTAATTAAAAATTATATTCAAAATAATTAAAATCTTGCGATGAGTTTTATTATTTATGAAAATAATTGAATTTTTGTCACTGAACTTTCATAAAGTTTTTAAAATAATTGAATTCTTGCGAAGAATTTTTAAGAAATCTATTTAAATAAGTGACTTTTTTCGAAAAAAAAAAATTATTTAAAATACAAATTTCTTATAATTTTTTACAAAAAAATCAATTGTTTAAAAAGAGTTTTGAACAATTCTTCGCAAAAAGTCAATTATTTAAAAAAATACATTAAAGTTCTTCACAAGAATTCAGAATTATGTTTACAAACATTAAAATGTTTCAGAAAAATTCAATTATTTAAAAAAAATATCAATTACTTTTTATACAATTTTAAATGAATTCCCTGAAAAATGCAATTTATCTTAAAAATTTTATTAGTACAATTTTTCGAAAAAATTCAATTATTTTAAGAAATTTTGATAAAATACTTGATAAGAATTTAATTATAAAGAATTTCATTAACATTTTTTTAAATAATTGAATTCTTTCAAAGAATTTTATTAATATTTTTAAGAATAGTCATTGAATTTTTCGTTAAATTGATTTAAAATTTTATTAAAAATAATTAAAATATTATTATTAATGAATATAATTGAATTCTAGACAAAAAAATTTGTTAATTTTTTTCTGAAAATAATTGAATTGTAGAGAAGAATTTTATTTAAATTTCTAAGAATAATTAATTTGTTTCGAGAAATTTAAAAAAAAATCGTATTGAAAATACTTGAATTCTGTAGAATAATTTTATTAAAGTTTTTGGGAAAAAATTGAATTGTTTCGAAGAATATTATTAAAATTTGTTGAAAATAATTAAATAATTTTAAGGATTTTAAATTACATTTTCAGAAAAATGTAATTGAATATTTCATTATTTATTAAAATAATTAAATTCTTTCGAGGAATTTTATATTATTTATTGAAATAATTGATTTTTGTCAAAAAAAAATTGTCAATATTTTTGAAAATAATTGAATTATATTGAAGAATTTTATTAAAATTTCTGATAATAATTCAATTCTTTCCAGGAATTTAATAAAAATTTTATTGAAAATTATTGAAATCTGCCGTAAAAATGTATTAATATTTTTAAAAAATAATTGAATTTCAGAAAAGAATTTTATTATTTACAAAAATAATTGAAATTTTGACGATAATTTAAAAAAAATTTTGATCATAATTGAATTTCTCTAAAGAATTTGATTACTTTTTAAAATAATTGAATTCTGGCAACGATTATTATTAAAATTTTTAAAAATAATTGAATTCCTGAGAAGAATTTTATTATTTATAAAAATAATTGAATTCTTACAACGATTATTATTAAAATTTTTAAAAATAATTGAATTCCTGAGAAAAATTTTATTATTTATAAAAATAATTGAATTCTTGCGAAGAATTTTATAGAAATCTATTTAAATGTGGCCACATTCTTAGATCCCAAACTAATTTTGCCATTTGCCATGGATTGATAGATTTTGGAAATGGTCAAAATATACAAATTTTTAGGGTTTTTTTTTTACCCACTGGGATAAAAGTGTCAGTTTTTTGAAAATCCTAACATTTAAGATCCGACGCTTCGAATAAAATTAAGAAGAAATCTCTTTAAAATATTAAAAATTTAAAACAAAAAAAATAGTGTGTAACTTTCTCTTTCAAGTGCATACACGTGTATCTTGAGTGCAGGAGGCACACATCTTTTATTTGCACACCGAACCGCGTAAGAGATAGCAATGAAATAAATCAAATTTTAATATTTGATGATTATTTACTATATCACTCGATTAGATAAAAAAGAAATCGATAACCAGTATCTTTATTACATCATTTAGAGAGTAAAAATTCTTATACACATTCTATGATACAAAATACATATACCATATTGCATCTTATCTCATACTTGTATTGCTTTTGTGAATTTTTTTTCTCTCTCCACTATTCATTTGTGTCTTGTTAATTGTAAATTTTTACGTATGTGCATCATTCGTTTGTCAACCGCAGAATTTGCACCTTCTTTAACACCGCATCATTCACAAAAACACAAAGAGAGAGAGACAAGTATCAGTGGAATTGGAATCTACCTTTTCAATTTTTGGAATTTACTTCAAAAAAAAAATAAATAAAAAATAGAAAACTGTAAGGAATTTGGGAGAAAATATCGTCGAGATTAAGCGATTAAAAAGAAAGAAAGGAATTATCGCCATGCCGGCAGGTATTGGCGCTTCGTACAGGTCACTAGGTGACCTGGGCGAGGATGTCTACAAAAGTACAACAATCGTTGATCAAACGCAAACCACCGGACAAAGTGTTCTCGAGAGTGTGAAGAAGGCCTTCAGTTTTGCCGCGCCCAAAATTGATATCAGAAAGAAAAATCTTTTGATCGAAGATTCTACCAGAGAGAACATCTCCATTGTTTCAAGGTAATTTATTTTTTTGTTCAAAATTTATCGTGAATTATAGGTGTTGGGTAAACTAAGGGTGATGGTTATAATTTACAATTGAACCCTTTTATGCAAGAACCAGACGCAACCCATTTAATTTCAATGGTCTATGTCTGGTTCTTGCATCAAGGGGTTCATTATTATATCTATACGGACGTGAGATACAATATCTATTTAGAAAAAATTTGTTTTACGGTGAAGGTTTGTTGACATAAACTATACTTGACGATGAAATAAAAATTAATTGTAAGGAAAGAATTTCGTTAAGTGGGATAAGAAATATTGTATTTTTTCATGGAACATAAATATATTGAGGGTGTAGAAGAAGTCGAGAGTTAGAAAGTGAGGAAACTAACAACCTTGTTTGTGATTTCGTTTACTAATCAAGATTGCTTCAATCGAACGACATACATTTCCAGTTTGCGAGTTTGAGTAAACAATAATTTATTTTACGTTAAGTGGAGACGGACTTTAGGACCGGAAGCTGACGCCAAGAATATCGATCTCCGGCCTGCTTGCTTGAAAACAGGCCGGTAAGGTAAGCTGCATGCTACACGAAGTTGCGCTACTTTGCACGTTTATATTAAACACCTTTTTGGGCCGTTCGCATTGCTTCTTGCTTTATTTTTCCTTTTTTTCTTCAAACACTACACGAAAATCGAAAATACAATTATACACCCAAAACATTTCGATTTTTTTCCAAAAATAATAACATAAAATACACAGAACATAAAAATTATAATTAAATCTTTTAGAAAAAGTTTCTTATTCCTGTTTAAAACGGTACACACAAAACTAATAATATGATGAGGATTGTAAAGGAAGAACAAATGTTCCCAAACAATCGAATTCTGCTAAATAATACTCAAATTTAAATTAATTGTCATTTATCCTCAAATTCAATTACACGAGATTGCTATTTGGAGTAATAATTACACTTCCCGATGTATATCTATTTTCTACACCGCAGAGTCGAAAATTTATTTTCAGTAGTTGTCATTTGTCATAAATGGGGAAATCCGTTGAATCCCACTTTACTGATTGTTTCCACTAATTCTGAAAATCATTTTCGATTGAACGTTTCATATTGACATACAAAATAGTAGCATTGAAACTATAGTACAATGAGAGTGGAAATTTACTGTCACTATGATCTTCTTGAGAATCCAATAAGAATTAAATTTAGAAATCGATCGATCTTTTAGAAGATTGATTTTAAATCCTGAACAAAATTTAAGACCCTAACAGAAGTTAAGGATTTAATCGGTTTGTTGAAATTGTTGGAATCTGTTAAATTCCTTCTAACAACGTTTTTCTGAAGCTTTTCACCCCTTCGATAAACGAGCTGGTATTCTGGTCTTTAAGAAAATCCGCACTAAAAAAACACACTTTGTCTCTGGAGTTTTTATTGTTTCATCAGAAAACGATCTGGAAACTTTTCATTCTTGCGATGTGGTTGGAATTCTCTGTTAACGTCGAGAACTTCTCTTTGCATAAGAAACAGCCAGTCTTCTTGTATTCTGAGAAACTTTTACTGGATACAAATAAAGGAGTCGCATTCGAAGCAAGGAAAAAATCGATCAGCCTCCTGATTGAGCAGCACATAAAACCAATTTTTATGGGTACGAAATGTTTCGAGCATTTGCTGGACGAAGGTCCAGCAAATGCTCGAAACATTTTGTAACCTTCAGTCACAGACCTCAAGACCTTTTGTTCTACCAACGTCTCCAATTTCTCCAAAATTTTGCGTACTGTTCGGGGGAATTAATGACTCCAATGTAATTTTTCGTGTCACTGAGGATTATCATCATTTCTGGAAATTAGAGTCGATTTCTGCTTTCTTGAGAAACGGTTCAGAATATTTGCTTTCTCCTGGTTAAGGGACTTCATGTTGTGAATTTCAACCACCAGTTTCCGATCCTAAGTTAGGATAAGTTAGGTTACACTTGTAACCTAAACTGTTTGCTCAGGAATGTTTCTAATTGTTTTGATGACATCCGTGTTTACTTAGCCGATTACAACTCTTGTATTGTCTCTTCTCCTTCTCGGATAATTTTCGGTCGCTCTGAATTTATCGTCCCTTGAATTTCTGGAGCAGTAACATGCTCCTACTATTACTGCAAAAAGTAGTCAGCTGACTTTGAAAGCTTATATCTCAAAGAAAAAAAATCGCACAACATTGAAACAACTTGGATCATCAACTACAACACTCCTACCTTACTGTAGATTAGCAAAAAACCCATTTTCATAGTTACTGACTTTTAAAACAGAAGAGTACGTATTTTTGTAAATCTTTAGTATCTGCTTTCGAACTTTAGTTTCGTTCTGTTTGTTTTCAACTTTGAATTTAAACAAGGATTGAGTTCACAATAAAATTATTTAATGCATCAAAAGTCAATTAAGTAATTAGGGAAAAAATTAGAGAAAAAAATTAATTAACAAAAATTTTCATCTCTATTTTCAATCACACTTTTTTGCAGAGAGTAATTTGTTGGGTAAAAATTGGTTATCAAGGGATTTTAAAAATAGTAATTGAACGCTACGAGGCTTGTGATATAATATCGACGTAGTTCATTATCGAAAATTAATCAGGACACTTGTTATATGAGTTTGTCAGGTTGTTTGACCTAATGGAGTTTCGAGACAATTCAATCAAATTGTCTCCGTGTTCTAGACGACGTTTAAGCAACTTTATGAGTTTTTCCGCGCAACTCCCATTAAATCCAATACAATTTTTTCTCTTCCCTCTTCTTTTTTTTCCCTTCTAAACAAGAATGAGAAACTTTTTAATAAATAAAAACTGAGAAAAGATACAAAAATCCAAATGACAAAATGCAAACTCTGGACAGAAAAATATTCACAGAAAATTAAACAGAAAACTATAAACTTGTTTATGTAATGGTGTTGGTATTGTTGTACAATTTTAACAAAAAAAAAATTGTAAACTAAGGCATACTGCGAAAGTAGTTGAGCTGCTAGGGCCGATTGTGTGATTATTCGGCGCCATTTTGTTTTAGGGACAGAAACAAGATGCCAGCCGCTGCCAGTGCCGAGGAATCAGCACTTTTGGGGTAAGTAATTTATTTTTCACTGTCAAGTGTTAATTAAAATTGATTGATAATTAAAATTATCGATAATAGTTTCTTGGGAATATTATGGAACCAAAAAATAAGCGAATGAAAAATTTCAATTTTTTCTGGATAATTCTCCTAGTTGGGAGACTATTATCGATATAAAGTGTGGCTCTTTGTAAAAAGCGATAAAATTAATTGCCAGTGTAAGAAAGTATTTACATTGCCTTACTTTTGCATAATCGTATGTTATTTCGCTAGAAATTGTATAAAAAAAAAGCTCTTAGTAATTCGAATTTCGAATATAGAAAAAAAAAGTTGTATATTTAAGAAATTGGATTGCATATCAACTATAGGGTATGTGGGTCGATAAATATGTCTCGAAGTCTAATTTTGAAAATTTAATCGAATATTTGTTATTCAATATAATATTTTTCGAAAAGTGTGTCAAGAAGATTATTTAATACTGTCGGAAGTTTTATTGGCAAAAGTATTCTCTATACTAATTTTGCTTGATTATTTTGACTCCGATAGTGAAACTATAATATAGTGAGGAGTCTGTGTCCAGACTAATTACTCAGTCTGCAGTTGACAGGTGATGTTTCATTTTACGAAGAAAGGGAAAAATTTGCTAATAACTGGAGAATTCAGTGTCGACCGATTAAAAACAGTTTAATCCACGAATTACACTATCGCGAACGAGAAAAATATTGAAACACCTAAAATATTTCTATATATATTTTAAACATGGTTAAATGTTATCGAACTATGGTTAATGACATTAAAACTGATTTGACATAAAATTCGCTTTTTTCACTCGCAATTAGAACAAAAATATTTTCTTTTTCGAAATACTGCATTTGGGGTTGAAAATTTGCACTTTGTGTGTTTTTCCCATATATATATATGTGGAAAAACACCGGCGCCAGCGTTGAGGACCGGTGCTAAGCCGGAAGCAAAACAATTGCAGAGCATAAAGTCTCTTTATATTCCAGTCGTTATATCTAAAGTAGAAAACGTAAAGCGTTCGACAAAGACCCACAAGGGAATTGAAACTTGAAAAATATGAAATAAAAAAGTAAATATAAAATGAAAAGAATACATAAGTATAAAAGTGTATAATACACAAAGGTAAAAATAAAAAAAAAGGAATTTAAATGAACCTGACAGCGAACAGATTTAATGGAATATTATATGACAGACGTTTTTTTTTTCTAAGCAAAAAATCTTCTTTTCTAAGCAAAACTGTAATTTAAAAATCGCATTACATGCTCGATTTGTTTTCATAAGTCACGTTTGTCCTGATGCATTAATTGATAATTTTGATTTCTATTCGAAAAGTTGGACATTTGTTCCTTCTTCTAAATCCAATTTAAATTTTATTGATTGATAGTTTTCGTTTGTTTTTACTCATCTCACTATTTTTTTTGAACTGTTCGCGTTGCTAAGCAACGACTGATTCGTAGGATGGAAACAATTCCTGGGTCGATGTCCGGACGCCAGGACGCCGCGCCAGGCGCCAGTCTTTTATGCTTCGAAATGCATTACAACCGAAATGATTAAATTATTGATTTTTGACTTTTATTTTTAATTATCCCAAAAATTATACCCTATTTTACGATTTTAGTAAAATTATCAATTTTTTAACTATATTCCCTTACTTATAATCCTTATTGACTTTCTTACGACAGTTTTTCTAAGGACTGCAAATTGGGACAAAAAAACGAATCAGTTTTGATTCGTTTTTTTTTTCTTAATTTTGCTATTTTCTTGGAAAAATTTGACTCTATTTAGAATTTTATTTTTATAAATTTGTATTATGACAGCTTTAGTGGCAAAAGTCACGTGTGTAAAGTATACTCAATCGATAGGTGAAAAAAAAATCTATGTTCCAAAGTATCGGGTGTTGGGATATCAAGTACGGTGGTCATCCGCAAAACCAAGTTTGTTTATTTGCAGACTGCAAGTACATTTCTCTGTTGAAAAAAAAAAATTGCAAGAAGTGTTTATTCCTTTTTATTCTAGAGTTTCATGGCGCGTTCAACTATCTTTTTTTTATTGTTCAAAGTTTTTTTATGTCTGTTGTTAGAACTACTGGTACAGTACCTATACTGTACTTTTTATGAACACTTTTGTTGCATTACTTTCTTGTTATGCATTAATTGATACATAAGCATAAAGAAAATTACTAATAATAATTATCATTAGCATAAATTAATTTCTATTTTATAAATGATCATTTTAATAATAAAAAATACATTTTACAATTTACATAATTTTTTATGAGAAACTTTTGAAAATTTTTTGATAATTTCGAAAATTGAGAAAATTGATTTACTTAATTCCTAACTGATAATTAAAATTCCGTTGTAAATTATTGGTGCATACACTACAAAATTTAGAATTTATAAAAAATCACAGTAAAAGAGGTAGAAATATTAATATAATTTAATATAATTGAAATTTTATTGCGAATCTAAAATTTTTATAATTTAATATTGTCACAATTATTGTTATTTGGAAACTGTTATTATCCGTTAAAGTAGATTAGCCTCAATTTCAACCGAGATGTATTGTTTCGTAAATATCTATGCATTTCTACAGAATACACTTAGACGAGGTTATTGACGATTTTCCGGGAATTATTGTGAAATAGTTCAACTGTAAATGTAAAAATTGCCTATTACTTTCTACTAATTTATTTTTAGGCTCCTTTCTTTTTCTATTAAATATTACAAAAAGATAAAAAAATAAAGATTATAAACTATTTAATTTTCTTTTTTAATACTATAAACTATTTAATTTTATTTTCAAATATTATAAACTTTTTTCTACTTTTTAGAATTTATGACGTGACTTTTAATATATATACAAGCTACCTTTTACGACATTTTACGATTATATCTAATTATCGATTAAGTTAGAATTTATTTTCTAAAAATAAACCTCACAAAGACATTATATAACATTTAAGTTTTAAAAAAATGTTCATAAAGTCTGAGGGGGAAAAATTTAGAGAACTTTCAAAAATTTTTTATCATTTGCAGGCTTTGTATTCGATAATTAATTTTCAAAAGTAGATTAAAGAAAGAAAAAAGTAGTGAAAAAAGTAGCTATCGAAAAATTAAACTTGACGACTCGGCTTTTTTTATAATTTCGTAATTATATTCAAAAATAGAATAATTTTTTTAAATCAATATTTAAATACCTATTTTTTTTTATCTACAGAAATAGAAATATTTGAAATGATTTTAGTGTGACGCATTTTTAAAATTTAACTATTTCTAAAAATTAAAAAAGTATTCTTTCAAAATTCCATCATTTTTTTCTTCAAATTTATAAATAAAATTATACAAAATTTTAATCATTTTACTTTATTTAATTCTAAATCAATTCTCACTAGAAAGTTCTATGAGAAATCAATTATTTAAATAATAAATAATTTATCTGAATAATTGAATATTTCTTAAATTTCAATTATTATAAAGAACTTTATCAACATTTTTTTAAATAATTGAATTTTTACAAAGAATTGCATTACAAATTTTTGATAATAATTAAATTCATTCAAGAAATGTAATAAAATTGAAAATAAATTGGAAACAATTCTAAGAAATACTCTAAGAAACAAATTGCATCAAATTTTATTAAATAATTGAATTTTTTCGAACAATTTTATTAACATTTTTAAGAATAATTATTGCGTTTTTAGTGGAATTAATTAAAAATTGTATTAAAAATAATTGAAATCCTGTGATGAGTTTTATTATATTTATAAAAATAATTGAATTTTTGTCTCCAAACTTTAATAAATATATAAAAATAATTGCATTCTGGAGAATAATTTAAAAATAATTGAATTCCTGAGAAGAATTTTATAAAAGTCTATTTAAATAATTGATTTTTATCGAAAAATATTAGGAAAATTCTGTTTTAAATAATCGAATTCCTGTGACAATTTGCTTATTTATAAAAATAATTCAATCCTTCCAAAAAATTTAAATAAAATTATATTCAAAACAATGCAATTATAAAAAAGAATTTTATTAAAATTTTTAAAAATAATTGAATTCTTTCAAAGAATTTTATTAAATTTTTTTAAGGATAATTGCATATTTCGCGGAATTTATTTCAAATTGTTTTAAAAATAATTGAAATCCTGCAATGAGTTTTGATATTTATAAAAATAATTAAGTTCTTGCAACGATTATTATTAAAATTATAAAAAATAACTGAATTCCTGAGAAGAATTTTACTATTTATAATAATAATTGAATTCTTGCAAAGAATTTTATAAAAATTTATTTAAATATTTGATTTTTATCGAAAAATATTTGGAAAATTCTGTTTTAAATAATTAAATTCCTGTGACAATTTTTTTATTTCTAAAAATAATTGAATTCTTTAAAAAAATTTAATTAAAATTATATTCAAAACAATTCAATTATTATAAGAATTTTATTAAAAATTTTTTTAAATAATTGATTTTTTTAGAAGAATTTTATTCAAATTTTGAAAAATAATTGCGTTTTTAGCTGAATTAATTACAATTTTATTAAAAATAATTTAAATCCTGCCATGAGTTTTATTATTTATGAAAATACATTGAATTTTTTAAATAATTTTTTTCTTCTAAAAAAATGATTTTTTCAAAAAATTTTATAAAAATTGTGTTTTAAATAATTGAATTTCCTTGAAAATTGTATATTATTTATGAAAATAATTGAATTCTTTTTAAAAAATTAATTACAATTATATTTAAAACAATTCAATTATTATAAGAATTTTATTAAAAATTTTTTTAAATAATTGAATTCTTTCAAAGAATTTTATGAAATTTTTTAAGGATAATTGAATTCTTTCAAAGAATTTTATTAAATTTTTTAAAAATAATTGCATTTTTTTTCCAGCGATGAGTTTTAACATTTAATTTATAAAAATAATTGAATTGATTATTACGATTATTATTAAAATTTTTAAAAATAATTAAATTCCTGAGA